TGTATTCACACCTTTGAGCTAATTCCTTCACCGGATATAATTTCTTTAAGAAACCATAAATATATAATTGTACAGCTTCGTAATAAATTCGTTGAAAAGAGTCTCTTCGCAAAATATTGTGTTCTTAAATTTTGAAATATTAAATGAGAAGAAATAAAGAGGTGATAAATAAAATGTGTAAGTTTACAGTTAGTCAAATTATTCAGTTATACTGTTGTTATTCATCGTATTTCATACACATATTCGCGTTTTTTGCTAGATAATTAAAAGTAGTCGGAAGGAAGCTTTCAATTTAGATTTCGTTCTTGTTGGCACTTACTAGTCATTCAACAAGGCATATCTAAAATCTTACAGAAATGTATGTCCCTTCTAAGATTAGAACCCGTGTCACTCAGCGCTGTTGTCAGAGACGTGGCCACTGGGCTATCCATGTTCAAAATTACCTACAACCATCTAATATCAACAATTCAGAGTGCACAGTGATGGCAAGCCATCTCTATCATAGTGGCCACACTGCACATTTGACTGATAGAATTCATTCTGCACCAGACGAAGAACTAGATGTCCATTATCCCCATTTCTATTCAACCTCATCATAGATGTACCAATGAATTTAACCCTAACACACTTCAGAGACTCAGGGATTGACTTGTTACCAGGGAGGGTATAATCTAGTTGACTTAGAATATACAGATGATATAGTCCTTCTAGGCGAGGATGCTGACAAAATGCAAAGTCTTCTGAAAACCTTGAGCTGCAATCTACGAATGTTTGCATGCGATTCGCTCCAGCCAAATGTAAGTTGATCTTACAGGACTGGACTACACTGACTCCTAGTTTAGTAATATGGAGTGAAGTGGTAGAGCACGTTGACCATTTCACTTATTTGGGAAGTTGCATCAGCCAACACCAGCGGATTGATCTCTGACGTAATCTCAGGACGGATACAGAGGGCTCGTTTCGCATATACCAGTTTACGCCGTCTCTGGCGTAGACGTGATATCCGACTATCGACCAAAGGGTGGGTGTACTGGTCATCAGTCCGCTCCGTCCTCCTTTATGACTGTGAGTGAGACCTGATCACTGAGAGTGGAAGACATGAAAAGATTAGCTGTCTTTGATCATAGGTGCCTGCGTTATATCTCTCGTGTGAAGTGGCATAATAAGGTGTGCAATATTAAGCTTAGGCACCGGTCGAGTGCTAGGTAGGTGGGAGGGGAAATCAATAGACGAGGCTGTGAAATTACATCGACTGAGATGGTTAGGACATGTGTTACGTATGCCTAGTCATCGCCTTCCTCGAAAATAAGCAATGGTAGCTAACATAGAGTCAGACTGGAAAAGAGCTAGCGGCGGTCAAACCAAACCACATGGCTTCATCAGTCAATGAAATCTACAACAGTTAGTTTAAGCCACGTAGGAAGGTGTAGAATTGCCGGTTGGGGTCTTCGGGACGGTAAAATCCAATGGTTGGAAACAATTGGTGAAATGGCTCAAAATAGTTCTCAACGGTGCAGATGCACCCACTCCTTGTGGCTTATGATTTCTAGTGAAACTAAATTGTTCTTCGTTATTACTATTCCTTTGTTTCACACCCCTGTTTACTGTCTCTATTATGCATTTCTTCTACTTTCTTCTGTTGCTTTGTGTGGTACATGGAGTGTGGCGACTTGAACTGCCGTACATCGGTGCGAAGTTCTATGTTGAAAGTAGACAGACAGACAGAAGGGCTAGATGCACGACATTACTTACTACCTAGTGTCCAGTCAAAGCATCCATTAAAATCCTAAATGTGGTCAAGGGATACATTTTCTCATGTCGTGTATCGCGTGTCTCATCCTGTCTGGTACTCGTCAGCCGGATGTAAGTACTTAATGGTGTACCCACAGAAATTCAAGTTCAGCCTTTGTATTCGAAAACATGGATGCTCTGTTTGTGTCTCAGTGGGAACACTCAATTGAGATTCAAGTAGAATGCTGGCCAACCACTCACTTGTTCTTGGTTTCGATTCCTGGTCAACACACTCCTAAACCTCACTGCTTAACCGGCACTACGCTCAGAGAAGAGATCAGATTGAAAGTGAGGCTAATAACGCCTACCTTAGAAGAACAACACCACGGCTATTGGAACTTCAAACCTGAGACTTCAAGCTCTATGTCCCAATCAGAATGCAAAGGAATAAATAAATACCTTCAAGAGACAGGTTTTAAAGGGTTTGAATAATTTCAAAGTAAATTTCGACACAGACCGATATTAGCTATCGAACCGTGGAAGACTGGAAAGCTATTTTCCCAAAAATTACCTAACTCTTGAATATCCATCTATTGCACAGTAGCTCTCAATTCGGGGTTGCAATGAGTAGTCATGATTAGCGCGGTCGGCTAAGCAGTATAAACGACAGTTTCTCAACAATGACATCGGTATGTGGTTAGAGCTATATCACACGCTGAGAGAAGTTAGGGTTCATGAGTTATTTGATTCCTATCTAGTGGCTGAACAGCATATATGCTTATCTATTATTCTAAAAGTTCTGAGTTTGGTTTATACGATACAAACTGATGAAGAGTCCCAGAGCAACAGAAAACGACCTCTGTAGACCTCTGTTGATTTCAGTGCTTCTCTAAATGATATCCATTTGTGACAAAGTTTGTTATGACAGTTTGTCATCATTTTATGGAGTCTTAGTTTTATTCTCAATGCTTTGAATTTTTTTTTTAGGACTTTTCATAAATGCGCGGCAATGTTTTGTATGAGGTCCCTAATTATAGCTCCAACTATTTTTTTTTCTTCTTGATAACTAAGGGGTTTGGTACAATTTATACAAGCGATGGTTTAAGTAGACAGTTGACAAAACAAGTTTTCAATTCATGAAAACTGTATGAGAAAAAGACGTAACATTGTAACGGTAGAAAACGAAGACATGGTAAAGTGGTGTTACAGGATTTTCATCATGAGCTGACATTAGTTAGAGAACCATTGGAAAACCTGGGAGTACTAGAAAGCTCTTTCGTCCTAATTTGGGACTCTTCACCAGTACGCACCCACCGGGATTCGAACCCAGCAGCTGCTGGTTACAAGGCGAGCTAGCTCACAGACCATTAAGCCAGCCACTGGAACCCGTTCCAATGGCCCAGGAATTCCAACTTCTGCCAATTCACGACATAGGGCGACCTGATGAAGAGTCCGAAACTAGGACGAAACAGCTGTCCAGTACTCCAATGGTTCTCTAACTAATGTCAGTTCATGATGAAAATCCTGTAACCAATCAAATTCCTACAAACCAACACTTAAAGTGGTGTTAATTTGCAATTTGTTATCTCTATATAGCCAAATTATGTACACCTTATCTTCTACACACTATTTGCACAGATCTTACGTGTTGTGTTACTTCTAGCCTTCCTTCATATTGTCTTTCTTTGTGTTCCTTTCACATGTCCCATGCATCTCCAGTACGGTGAATCTTTGGCTTTCTCTAACGTCAAATCTATCTCCCTGTTGTCTGTGTTTTTATACCGATGAACGTCTCTATGTACTAGTGATAAATCTTATCAGTAACACACACACACCACAGCATGATATGTTGTGTATGTTAAAACATACTTCAGGGAGCATATTTTTTAAAATCACTACCTGACACGGTGAAAATGATATATAAACTTGCTTTATTGGAAGTCAATTGGTGGATGGTGACTAGCACTGGAATCCAGGATAACGCGCATTTCCGCCTATTTGGGACTCGTCATCCGCATGTACCTTCATTTCCCAGTCAGTGAGTGATGAGGTTCCCACCACCGAGGCTCGAACCCAGTGTCCATAGTTTCACACACTAAAGCGTTATCCACTAGACCACTTAGACTAATGAGAGCTGGCCACCTCTTGTGCAACAGGTCATATTAATTATTTAATTAAATTTTAGATTTTCTCGTCGATTGATTGAAGACCGAAGTGGTCGGTCTCAGGTATTATTTCCTTACGCTTTCAAATCAAGTCTCCTAATCACTGCTTTCACTATAAAGAAACTATTTTCGTATATTATACAGCTTGATGTGTAAACGTGGTAGTCTTTAATGCTTTCTAGAGTTGTGAACGGTGGGATCTACCAAGTCGGACGTGTGGAAAGATAATTGTCAATGATACTCCACGGTGGTCTCATTATATTACCAATTTAACAAAAGTCAGAATTCATGGAGCACTGGATTCTCAGCTAACGGGTGAATATTAATCATCTTCCCTCGTAAACTGTGTATCCTCAAACCGATCTGTAATGGTGTCACATGTGCGTACCTATAAAGACTCTGGGACCAGGACGAAATCGCTGTTCATTGCTTCGAAACCTACCTTGATATATCTAGTGTTTTTAACATGCAACGCACTTGTTAGTTGGACAAAACTCTTGTTCTTTCAATATTTGAATCGCTCGGTGTCTACTTGATATTGAGGGCGGCGGAAATATTTTAAACGAAAGCTAACTGTGATTCCGTGAAGTGATTACTGCTAAACAATTCCTACTAAATATACAGATTTAAAAAGGGTTTAGAAATTCAGATGTGAATATCAATCGCCAGTTCAATGATATCTACTGATTAGATTTCTTGAAACTTCAGTGTGACTAGTACAGTCCACCGTGTCAAGATGAATTAGATGGTCACTGAACACACATTGGTGAGGGCAACGTTATATCACGTGGTTGAAAACCTAATTGCCTAAACGGTCAGCAGGCTTGAACTCATCATCTGGAGGTCTAGGGTTCGATCCCTGGCTGGGTCGCAATGCTGAAGAGACCCAGAATAGGACGAAACAGTTGTTCAGTTTTCAATGATCTATCTAAGTGATGTGTTGGCTCATGACGAGTAGATAACAGAGGGTGTTCGTTGACGATCTTTCCACTCTCGTAGTCAGTCACGTACCAGAGCATGTACACTAACTGACTTCAATGCAACCAATATTAAAGAAAAGATGTACCATTCAGAAGAAGAGATTTTATTTATATATTTGATATATATATATATATATATATATGTATAAATATAAGATTTATATATTCATGTATTATGCTAAGTTCAATTCAAATACGACTAGAAGAAGCATGTTGACCAAATGGGAACAACAGGATTACAAGAGATAGATAGATCGATAGACAGATATATGTAAATATTCATGAGGAGTATTTCAGCTATAAATGCACAAACAATATTGCGTCACAGTGTGTGTGTGTGTGTCAAATGGGGAAGGAATGTTTCAGTGAAGAAAATTATAAATGATTAAAATCACAGCTTTCACAAACAAACAAAAAAAAACAATTAACAACTAATTTGGATCATAGGATCATACACACAATATAAGCTCATAACCTAGTCGTCTCGATCCTAGAAACTGATGTTTGTAAATGTATATATATATGTATATATATCGCTATATATATAATATGCGCAGATCTCGTAATTAATATCATGATAGGACAGAAAGTTAGCAGGATAGAAACTAATAATATAAAATCAAAATAATAATAATAATAACAGTGATCAAGGTAATAGTATTAATAAAATAACGATAGCAATAATAATAATAATAATTAATGGAATGATGTGTGACGACACCGAAAACGACGAAGACAACAACGATAAAAACAGAAAGGATACAATGAAAATGCAGCATTCCGGCTTTCAAACTACAATAAGATGACATCAGAGGATAGATAGATAGATAGATAGTATCACTTTTATTTGTTGTTTTCATCACATATTTTGTCTTTTTTTTGTCTACACATTATTATTGCAGATTTTAATCCTAATACGTCGGTCCGTAATACTGACCACCTCCGGCACCACCCATAGGCGGCTGTTGAATATTTCCACCATACGGTTGCTGTTGTTGTTGCTGCTGTTGACTCATTGGATCATTCATGCCAGGATATGTTTGACCTGGAATACCAGCATTTGGATCCATAGTTGAACCAGGTCCACCACCTAATTCATCTTCAGCATTCAGATTAACTTGACCAAGTCGAAATCGTTGCAATGCAAAGAATGTAATCCCACCCTTGATACATAATAGAAAAAGATATATGCATATATAACCACTGAAATGAATTATATCACAAAGGTAGTTAATTAATCCTGTAGCGGGCAATAATTCCCTTAAAATCATTAGCCTAAAGGCATTCTTCACCATCCAATCGGATGGTGACCTTGACTGTTTAAGTTGATTCATTGAACTGAAGGTTCATGGTGAAGCATCGACACTACTCTTGGCGCGCTGTCGTGTTACGTTCGGTCATGGGTACACGACCCTTTTACTACGATTCTGATCCCGAAATATATCTCGTACTTTGGAGGATCAATTTAGTACTTTGATTTGCTTTTGGTCTGCTCAGAACAAATCCTTTGGGAGTTGGAGGATAAAAATATGTGTTGGGAAAACAGAACACTTTGGCGTAAACGTCAACATCCCTTCTTCTCCTAAACTATCAACACTATGGGAAACAGAAAGACATTATAAAAATATACTTTTAGCAAATGATTTATGCTGACCTAGGTTTCGTGCTAGTTGGCAAACACCAGTCACAGCAAGGCGTATCTGAAATACTTGGAGCAACTCATGTCTTTGAAGAGATTCAAACCCGTGTCAACCAGTGAGTGCTGCAGTCAGTCAGGAACGTTATCGCTGAACCATTCTGGATCGCGATTCACCTGCTGTACTACTGTATTGGATATTTTTGATTCGACGGTAGTTAGCACCTGATATCATGTGTCTCTAGTCCTTTATTCGATGCAGACTGAAGTTTGCAATGTAGCCACGACTGTTAGTGGCTTGACACCACAGTGCACTTTGAATTGTTGTTATAACATGGTTGATGGCATTTGGCAGGAACCCTTGAACCTAGGTTTGATTGGATCCTAGGTTGGTAATTAGTATTCAACTTGATTGACAGAATTCAGTCTGTATCAAACAAAGGAACTAGACACATGATACTAGCTACTGACTAGTGTGTTGTATATATAATGGAAACACCAAATGTTAAAGATGAGAAACTCTGTTAGTTTACTAACCTGTCTCGTCTTTGATTTCACATCTGAACTATTCATCTCTTTCAATCGTGATTCCACCAATTATTTTTATTTTTTATTCCTTCACGTACCCGGTAGAACGTAGGGCTTCAAGGTAGAGCCTTAAAGTTTCGGCGGCAGTGGTGGTGTTTAATTTTACGGCATGGGGTTGCTAGCCTCATGCCCAACCTTCCCTCCATGCCAGGCCTACTACTACCGGCTTAGAGAGGTTAAGGAGTGCGTCGGTGGCCAGGAAGCGAAACCCAGGACCACATGAGTGGTTAACGAAAATTCTACCGCTGTGTCACCGACGCACAATTGATTATGAGTAATATATATATATATATATATATATATATATATATATGACAGTTGTCATAGAGTCATAGTGAAATAAGGCGTTGCGATTTACAAGGTGTCTAAAGTGTTACGACATAATATATATACATCTTGTTAGAGAGAAGTTTCTTGAAAAACAATTAATTAACAGTTGTGTTGTTGGGGTGGCAACAGAGGAAAATTAGTAATAGTTACGTTATTAGATAAAAGATCAAAATTTTAAAATTACGATGCACATGAGGTCAGATGGGAAGTTGATGATGTAATACAGTGAGCAGAACTCAGAATATCAAGAAAAATTATCTTTTGAGAGAGTCAAGCGAAAAATAAACGTGGGGGGGGAGTTAAAAGATTAGTTAAAAAAATTAGAAAACAAAGAGTTACTAAGAAGTGAGTCACCGGGGTAACTGAAGTCCAGCAACGGATTCCTTTGGGACACATAAGTCAAGCTTCAGTCGTTTTATTGCTATAGCTATAGCAAATCTGAGGAGACTTGAGGTAATTTGTCTGTTAATTATTTTGAATGATTCCAGCACATCTACTCGGTGTCCTGTGTCAATCAGCTGTTCGGTGGCGATTGAAGAGCTTAAACAATTCATTCCCTTTAACCGGAGGCTCCTTGATACATGTTCGCAGAATCTGACGTAGGCCCTCCTCTCTGTCCTTCCAATGTAACTACTCCCGCAGATACATGTGAATTGGTATACACAGTTGGAAGTAACATGTAAGGGGTACTTGTCAGTTTTTGACTGCACCAGTGAGGAGGATGTTCCGGGTAGAGAGACTAATAATGTTGCAGGGTACATCCTAGATAGGGCGATATCTCGGCAAATTAACCTCTGATAGTCGAGTTTCACAGCACTAGATCAACGCCAATCAATAAGAACTTCTCTATAAACGTAATTTTAAGTTAATCTGCGAAAAAATTAATATCCTGTATGAAGAACTATGACTGCTACTTTAGATACTCCGAAGAATCGAGTTTGATGTTGAAGAAAATAAAAGACAATTCAATGAAGAAAACTTTTTTTATCGATGAAATTATCTGCAGAGGCTGTAAAATCATAGTTATATTTACTAAAAACGTCTACTGGTTGAGAAACAGGGTATCCACTGGACGGTCAAGTGTGTAGCTGAAAGACGTAGTAAAATGTACAAAAAGAACACATGAGTGTGATAATTGTGGATTAATTACTAAAAGCAGAAACGAATGAGTAGGAAAGAGATTAAAATCATGGCGCCACAGCCATATACAAATGCCAAAACCCAGTGGGTGCGTACTGCCGATGATTCCAAAACTAGGATGAAATAGCTATCCAGTACTTCAGTGCTGGTTTTCGATGGTTCTCAAACCGATATCCATCTGTCGTAAGACTCGAAAAAACAAAACAAATCTAATTCTTACAAACCAACTCTTGAAAACCTAACATTCCTAATAACAAGTGTTGGTTTTGTAGAGATTTGGTTTGATTGTATGGAGGATTTAATCATGAGCTGACATCAGTTAGAGAAACACTGGAAAACCTGGGAGTACTGGACAGCTGTTTCGTCCTAGTTTGGGACTCCTCATCAGTACGCACCCACCGGGGTTCGAACCCAGGACCTTCTGGTTACAAGGCGAGCTCGTAGACCATTGAGCCACTGAGGAGTCCCAAACTAGGACGAAACAGCTGTCCAGTACTCCCAGGTTTTCCAGTGGTTCTCTAACTGATGTCAGCTCATGATTAAATCCTCCATACAATCAAACCAAATCCCTACAAAAGCAACACTTGAAAATTAATCTGATGCTCACTAGCGACTGGCCCTATTCAGGCAGTTAACCTGGGGTTCTAGTAGGAAGCCGTGACCAGTAGGGCACAGCAGATCGAAGATGAGGCAGTAACTCATCGAAGAAGACATTGCGAAGTGGTCGCGCTATGTCGTGAATTGGCAGAAGTTAGAAGTCAAGAACCATTAGATAGGGTCCCAGTGGCTCAATGGTCTACGAGCTCGCCTTGTAACCAGAAGGTCCTGGGTTCGAACCCCGGTGGGTGCGTACTGATGATGATTCCCAAACTAGGACGAAACGGCTGTCCAGTACTCCCAGGTTTTCCAGTGGTTCCCTAACTGATGTCAGCTCATGATTAAATCCTCCATACATTCCTAATAACATTCGATCTCTCCTTGTTATAGGTAGTTGATTCTGGTGGATCTGTGTGGCCTGAGTGAGTTCACCACGTGTCCTAGAGTTGAGCTAGTCATTGTATTGCATCGTTCTCTTGATAACCATGATGGATAAAGCTCACAGATGAGTTTTGAAGGTGAGCTCATTGTGCAGTCAGTCAGAGACTATTAAATATCTAATTATGGCAAAGATTACGGACATGTATACTCTGTTTATCGTAATTTCGTATCTCTATATGGTCAAATTATGTACACCTTATCTTCAGCGCACCCTTTGCACAGGTCTACCGTCTTGTGCTACTTCTAGCCTTCCTTCATATTGTGTTTCTTTGTGTTCCTCTCGGGTCTTCCAAGTATCTCCGCAACGCTATATCATTTACCGTCTCTGACATCAAATCTATCTCCTTGTTATTTGGTGTTTTTTATGCCGATGAACATGTCTTTATATACTACTTCCAACTCTTATCAGTAGCTCACGTCACTCCTGGGTTAATATTATCCGTAGAAAAATGTTTGGACAAATCACTAGCTATTATCTGATTCATTGTTGAACATATTACGGAAAAATTGTTTTGAAAATCCCTCCCAGGCGATCTAATTACAGTATTTGTACTTATTTGGACATTGTAATGATCACCCATTTTCCTCCTAGACTGTATATCATTATTTTGACATTTGCATATTACCTGTTGATTCGGTCCTTATTATTTATCTTCGTGCTTGCTTAATCTCTCTCTTTTTTTATTCCTTCACGTTCTCAGTGGAACATAGGGCTTCAAGATACACGCTTGAAGTTTCTGCAGCAGTGTTTATTTTTACAGGATCAGGTTGCTAGCCTCATGCCCAACCTTTCCACTTGACCAGCTTTATTTCTGGCTTAGCGAGGTAAAGGAGTGCGTCCATGGCCGGAGATCAAACCCCGGACCATGTGCATGGTCAGCGAGCGTCTTAACCGCTGTGCCACCAACGCACAAGTTTAATCTCTAATTCTAACATGTCTCTTTGGGGTTGTTTGATGGTGTTGATATTGTGCTGTTTTACGAGTGTGATTTCGCTTGGGTGAGCGAAGGTCATTCTGACCTTGGACTGTTCGCGGAAATTAATGGTGTGTGATTCTTCTAAACAGAGGATTTTTGATCCCACGTGGTTGGGACTATTCTACTTGATTCCAAGTGCTCGTTTTGTACTTGGAGTGAACTATATAGCTGCCTAACGCCATTGTGGAGTTAATTTTGAGTTTTTGATTCTATCATTGTTGAATAAAACCGCAAAATTATTCTAGGAATAATCGTCTTTTTCCTATCTTTGGAGCTTTTCATGGTCGTGCGTGTCTCAAGGAAGTTTACCTGCTATACAGTAGAATGCAGAGATCAGTTTCTGGTTGTGTTCAGACCATAACGAGTCAGTTTCGGACGCCACACTGGACGATTTATTATGATGCATAGTGGCGTTTGTAACAATAAATCATGGGTTCAATACCTCAGTGAAAACACCATACTTCAGGGGGCAGGCCGGCACGTCCTGCTGACAAGTCACAAATGGGACGAAACACACCTCTTGGATTAAACTGCTAGCAACTACCAATCGAGCAGAAAGCCAGAGGCCTTTTTTGACAAACTTTAAAATGCCAGATTTATCGATAAAAAAGTAAAAATACAACTTACCCAAATTGCAATTGACAGAAAAGCAAAAGCGATAGCTGAACGAGCATTACTCTCTTGCCATCCTTCAACTTTATGTTGACTCAACCATTCATCAGATGTATTTGTCCATTTATTTGCAAGTAGACAAAAACTAACAAACCATAGGAATGTCCATAAACCTAAATGTTTTGAAAAGTATAAAGGTGAAATCCAATGCAATACACAGTTGATAAATGAAACCAATCGATCACGTTTGATAAAACTATAGTATAAGCAAATAACTATAGGGGATGCCCATTACACAAGAAGTAATCCTTGCAGCTTAATAGTTACAAGAGTGTCATGCCTCAATGTTTCAAATGATTAGCGTTTAGTTTAACTCTCTTATCTGCAACAATGTAACTGACCAGCCAGCCCTAGACAGGATAAAATGCGATAGCAATCACAAAAACTGTTGATGAATTCTAGCCTTGCCTAAACCTGAAGTCTAACAACAAGGGTCATTTTGAATAAAGCAAAAACAACAACTTATGCAGAATAAGATGGTACCGTCGTTTATTTCGTCGATTTTTCATCAGCTGCGTGCAGAAGCTCTGTAGAGAAATTAGAGCGAGAATTTTGAATTCTCGAAAAAGGTGTTGAAAAACAGCCGTTAACCTGAGAAAATTATCAACAAGTACAGAAGATGTGAATGTCCAACTGACAAATAAATCAAAGTGGAAAAGAAGCCTATCTTCATTCAAATCGGTTTTAAAGGTGACAACATTGCAGGAATAGTTGACGGAATGTTGGAAACCACACTAGCCAGAACCTATGCTTAAGCTAAGTTGGTTCCCGTTTATCAGACAACATGGTCGTTGGTTGATGCAATCGAAAGTCGACAGATGCCCTTGTCATGTTGACACTAACAGTGTACACACATTTACGTGTATCTACGGTTGCAGTTACATCGTGAGAACTGTATGAAAGACATACTTCCGATTTTCTGAACACGGACCAAAAAACGTCTGTCTCACCCACCGGGGTGTTCGAACTGCTGAAGAGTGCTAAACTAGGACGAAACAGCCGACCAGTACTCCCATGTTATCCGATGGTTCTCTAACTAATGTCAGCTCATGATGAAATCCTGAAAGAATTCAAAGTTCGTTGCACAATTGGTTCCTGATGGGTTGGTTCACTTCCAGAGATACCTGTTGTCAATCTTTTCTGGCCAGCCATCTGATCTTGAGTAGTATTGAGCGGGGACAGCTGTTGATGAAGGTCAGTAGTTTGTTCGCAGTCCTCTTCGTGACTAGGCGCCAAGTCTCTGATCCGCATAGTAAGTAGCACTGACTTCACATTTGAGTTGAAAATCTGGATCTTATTTTTCATGATAAGGAGTGCTGTTGATCTCCACACAGGCTTGAGAGTAATAAAAGCTTGCACTGCTTTCCCTATCTTCGCTTTGATATCCTCATCCGTTCTGTCCGCCTGTATTTGAAACGATGCTTCCCAGGTAGGTAGGTAGGTAGGTAGGTAAGTAAGTGAAGGGGGTTGCTTGTTTCAGATTCCTCCCATTTATTCTGATTGTTATCTGTTGTTGTCGCTGTTTCTGTTGGTCGGGAATCTTTCTCACCTCTGTCTTCTCTATGTTCACCTGAAGGAATTCCTATCTTTGATGCTTCTTCTATCGCCAACTTGTTGCTTTTCACTTGCATATCTTCCAGTTGGTGGGAAATCAGACACATATTTCATCGGTGGAATTCAGATTCTCTAAGTTTCTTTTTGCACTCGATGGGCGTTTACTTTAGTACTTAAAGTTTAACTTGACCAGTTATTTTTCTCCGTAAAAGCAACAACAATAAAAACATTGTATCCCCAAAAGAACGAAAAGAAGTTACTTCACAGAGGGCTAACCACTACTCCTGAATGAGTTTAACATAACCAGTTAGAAGTAAACATAAACACAATTAGAATCAATGAAAAGATTTTTTACAAAAGAATCTAGGTTTTTTTTCTCTTTTATAAGTAGTCTTGTCAACTAGGTAGCTCAGTGTAGTGAATAAACCAATCCCAACATCACATAAAACATTAGTGAACATTTGTTTTTAACAAACAATAACAAGTGCCATAGAATCTATGCAAGTGACTCTATTACTTCAAATAAAAAGTAATTAAGCATCAGAAATCACAACAGCAACAACAACAAAGAAAAACACAACCATCTCTTTCAAGCAGACCCTAACTTACCTGAGAAGGCTAAATCACCAATTATCACAATTTTTCGTCTTTTAAGATTTGAAATTGAATTGAACATAAAATCGCTTGCAAGGAAAACAACTGATCCGAGGAAAGCGAAAACACCAACAGCAACTGGGAAATTACAAGCACTTGATGTAGCCCCAAAAATACAAACACCTTGATGAGTATGACATCCAGACGAAATCGATCCAAAAGCTATTATTGCAGCTAGCTGAAATTATATACAAATGAGAACAAAAGACGCCTTTGAGTAATATGAATCTTCTTGATGAAAGAATAAGTCAATTATGATGCAAAAATCAATGTGTACGTATAAGCTTGAAAGCTCTTGATAAGCCGAATAATAAGCGCACCAACCAACTAATAAGATTATTCAATTATTGGTCTTTAGGGATTTGATTGATTTTTTCCTTCACGTTCCCCAGTGGAACATAGGGCTTCAAGCTAGTGGCTTGAAGTTTCTTTAGCAGTGTTTATTTTACGGGATGGGGTTGCTAGCCTCATGTCCAACCTTTACCAGCATTATTTCTGGCTTAGCGAGATAAAGGAGTGCGTCCGTGGCCGGGGATCGAACCCCGGACCATGTGAATAGTCGGCGAGCGTCCTAACCGCTATGCTATGATTGGTTACAGGATTTCTTTATGAGCTGACATACGTTAGAGAACCACTGGGAAACCTGGAAGTACTGGATAGATGTTTCATCCTAGTTTGGGACTCTTCGTCAGTACGCACGCACCACTTAGGGTTCAAACCCAGGACCTTCGGGTTACACAGTGAGCTAGCTCGTAGACAATTAAGTCACTGGGACCCGATCTAATGGCCAGACAATGAATTCCAACTTCTGCCAATTCACAACATAGAACGTTATGTCGTGATTGGAAGAAGAGACAAAAATAAAAGTGTGTGCTTAATGGTTCCTCAAATTTAAGTATATGTCTGAGAGTAGTAGAAAGCTCATAGGTCAAGGTGATCAACTTTTCCAACCACTGCATCATAGGTTCAAACTCCACTCGACTTATCCAGGCGGTATTGTTAGATCATAAACAACAGCTGAATGTCATAGGTGTAAGTATTTAGAAATCATATGATTTTTATAAACATCGACTGTGGCTTATTGGACAAGTGTTTGGAAACGTCGAAAGTATTTGCTGAATATAACATTTCATTTCATATTATCTGTAACGACTGACTAGGCAGGTATACAGTTATAAATGTGTAAAGGAAGTTTTACCTTATTGATACTAAGCAAAAGCCTAAAAAAGACTGCTTCACCTAAACTAGAAGACAAAAGCAGTATTACATATGCATACGAAATATGTATGAGAAAGCCGGACAGCTCATGGGGGATGAATTTCTTCACAGTTTTATAATAAACTTTGTTAGCCTATTAGGCGCCAGTTTTACTCTTTGTAAGAAATAACTAAAGACATTGATAGCTAGTCTTTGATCCCAGAGGTATGGTAAATTAATTAAGAAAAGATATCTGTAAAACTAATGTATTTATACAAAATTCTAATCTGATGGTAACTAAAAAAGTTGACAAATATCTAATAGCACTCCACTAATTTTGCTTCAACTACAGGTGGTATCAATGAGGATATATCAAAACCGAGTTGGTAAAAGCAAGACAGTCTTTCATAACTGTGAAAGTAGTGTGTAAATCTACTGCACTATGCAGCATAAGCATTGATATATGGATATTCAGCATTAAGGACAAGTCAGTCAGCTCTTCTATAGGCTTCACGACTTAGTGAGCCACGCAGAGCATTTCCGAAGGACTACTACTGCAGTTTCATCAACGACTGTCTTCGCTCCATAGTGTAGATCAGATAGCCAAACAGAAATGATAAGCAAGAAGGAATCAACTAAGGACCTATTACCAAACAGATGTGCAATCTTGGAGCCACCTGAAAAGACTGCAAAGAACGGGATGAAAAGGGAACGTGATTCTGAGGCCCTATGTTCTTTCTATGTGGAACCCAGTGGAGTAATAATAATAATAACCCATTAGTTTTCTTATTTCGACATTACGCTAAGCAGTCGAAAAATGCATTTTACCGAAAACGTCAGCAGACAATTAGTAGAAAGTCATGCGTGTTAGTTTGCAGTAAAAAAGTAATATGTAACATCATCTAAAGAAAAGTCTTTCTTGACTGTTTAACAGAAAATCTGGATTTCATTTTTATTTCTTTCCTTATTAGTATTATATTACGAAGTGTTTTATAAAAAGAATAAGTGTGCATACGGTGGTAAGTAAAGGTGATTTGTGGATACACTGTGTAGCTCTATGTAAGTAAACGTCAAACCTTAAATTAAAGCTTAATTTTTTCGCTGACTATTTTCAGTAAACCTTATAATTACTGTTGTACTTATGAGCAAGAGATAATGAAAAAGAATTATAACTACAAAAAGTTCACTGTTCTAACAACTAGTTATTATATGACAAACATTCCTTTCAGGTTAGACCATGGATTGATATCACTTTATTTTATTACAACTTGATTCCACACCGTATTTTCTGGTACAGGTATGGAATTTTCAGCAGGTGATATTGGTAACCCAAATTTTGCAGGCCGATCATAGATATCAGGTGTGCGTCGTCAGGGGATCGAACCCTGGACCATGTTCATGATCGACGAGAGACCAAACCGCTGTACCACCGATGAATCATTGAAAACTTAACCCGAAACAAATACAATCCCTACAAACTAATTCTTGAGAATTAATCCGATGCACACTAGTGACTCTGGCTAAAGAACAGAGTTGACTGGAGTTAGTTCTAGTAAGAAATGGTGACCAGTGGGATCCATCCAGTCTGGAGCGAGGATGGAATTCCCGCCGATGACATTGGTTGGTGCTAATCGCGCTAAAATCACGAATCAGTCGAAGTTAGAATTCGCGTACTGGTCATTGAATCGGGTCCCAGTGACTGAATGGTCTACAAGCTTGAATATAACTGGAAGGCCCCTAGTTTAAATCTCAGTGGACACGTGCCACCGATGAGTCTCAAACTAGGACGAAATAGCTTTTCAGTACTCCCTGGTTTACAATGGTTCCCTAACTGATATCAATCCGTGGTCCAACTCGTAAAACAAATACAATCCCTAAAAACTGACTTTTGAAAAATATTCCTTCTTCTGGAAGGGAGAATATTTTAAAATCAGATGGGTTTAATGAGAACAGAATCATAATGATATACCGTTGTTCTGTGCGTCACACAATATTCGACAATGTGCACAAATTTATTGTTCAAGTTGATTACTGTTCACTACATTCTCATACATTATGATAACCCTCACAGCTAAAACAAAGCGGGAGAATGATACTCAGGAAGGCTTCGTGTGCTTTTGAAAGTGTGTGGGCGGTTGTTACTTTACGGCTGCCCACACCGTGGAAGTTGATTGATTCTTCGGGTACCTGAAACAGGAAGAGGGTTAATGTTGCGTGACCGCAGAGTCCAGCGGAGAAGTGCTTGAGGCAGGTCACACACGGCCTGTATGAATTGGTTTCTTGGATTGGTTCCAGATTAGCAACATTACCGCCCTCTACGGACCATCGTAGGGTAATTCGGAATGTACAATTTTGCGGGTCGACCTTTTCTAACCCACCCGTCTCCAAAACGAAGAAACAGCATTGCTTGCTGACATGCTGGTCATCTGAGGGAAACACTTTACTGATGTCACATCCCTGTTCCCCAACAGCACGACTTCACCCACAGAACTCCAACATAGTGTAAAAAAATTCTTACACTATTCCGGTAACTGCTTTTAGTATAATCGCTATCCTAACAACTTTCCTGGCATGGTAGGACCTACAGGAACATTAGTTCCAGTCAGTGTAGCTTGTTGGGTCATTGCGATATGCAAGTCCGACCCCCACGTCAAGGTAGCAGCTTACACGGCAATCATACAAAAGCGATGAGAATGTTATTGACTACAAACTGTTAGAAACATTTCTTTCAAATAGATACACAAAAGAAGCCTTCTTTTTTATGGAAGTAATTATGGACGATGACCTGAAATCAAAACTACATTTTCAACATAAAACTTTGCACAAAAAAGCAGCAGCCTTACTTCATGTAAAGTACAAAGAATTGAAATATACTGAAGGGGTAATTATTATATGAAGAATAGTGAGGATTTAGAATGAATTTAGAAGAACATAAAGAGTGAGTAAATATGCTCTATTGGGAAGGATTTTGAGTCAACTCATTCACATTCATTGTTTCCAAGCGTCTTGAAGACCTGAGTCAAACATACTAAAAGCCTTTATGCGGCTTAGATAAACAGCCAAAGACTTCATGGATTAATGTCACATTCTCATCTTACTAAAGGCATTACCTACACTCGGTAAAAATGAGACAAATATCAAATTGTTAGGATAGGAGGATGAGCCAAAATTACAACCGTTTTGTAATTTTTTATTATTATTATTCTCTAGGGTTCCGAGTGGAACATAGAGCTTCAACAGCACATCTCCGCCTTGTTCTGTTTTCTGCCGCCTTCTTCAGCTGCGTCCACGATTTCCCATAATCTCTCATCTCCTCCTCCTCCTCACACGATTTTCTCCATGTCACCCTCCCACCGATGACCTACTCGTCACTTCCTATTCAGTTTCCACTCGAGTGACGGTCTGTATTGCACGCGATGTCATTCGACGGCCTCCTCAATGTATGCCCAATCCATCCATCTTTATTTTCCCCTACATATTTGTTGAGCGGTCGGTTCTTGGTTGGTTTGTTACCAGAATCAGTATAAATCAGATAAAAGTGAGTCATTTGAGTCCTTAAGACAGTTTGTAGGGTAAATACGTGAGTAAAAGTACATAGATGTAGAAAAGTGAACTTTTGGTATTCCATGATTTTTCTCCTGCCAGCCTCTTAAATAAAATTCACCACATACTGAAGTAGTAGTAGTAGTAGTAGCAAAAACAAGTAACACACAACATCGTGAATACATGCACTAGACGAAATATCTTCTCAGCGCAAATTTTCAGTCAGCACCTTTAAGGCGGTATCATTTTTCTAACTTAGAATTTAACTTAAGAAGTGGAATACCAAGCATTTATTGTGTTTACATGTTCAGTGTTTGATAATGGAATAAATATACGCTTGGTTTCGCTTAGTCTACATTGTGGTGTAAAGGAAAATGGCCTACTTTGCTTAAATTATTTAGTGCAGGCAAAGCAGACTGGATGGAGTAACTTGCCAGCCACTTATGTGAAAATCGCTTTGGATTTTACCTATAACTAGATCTTGTCAATTCAGATATTAGTGGTGAATTTGATGAGATGCCTACTAGGTATTTTACGATTCTATGCTCATTAAGTCCACTAGTTTCGTAACGACAGTTTGCTAGTGAAGTTATACAAATAGCTACATTATATTGTGACAACAAGTCAGTTAATAATTGCAAAAAACTATCCATTATTTTACAGACTTCTGCCGATTGCAAAACATTTTTCTGTGAACACACACACAACTTCACATATTTTTCATCACCTAAACATGAAGTACGCATCAGTAGCATAGTGGGAGAATGCTCGTCAACTACGCCTCACGTGGTTCAGGGTTCGATCTCCGGCCTTTACTTCGTTAAGCAGGTAATGAGGCCGGGAAGGTTTGGCGTGAGGCTAGCAACTCCATCCCGCAGTTTGCTTCCTAAATGTCAAAACCTAAACTAATGGACTGATGTTCTAGGTTTTATATTAGCTTATCTTCATATACAAATTTTTCGCTTTTACTAGATGGATGCGAGACAACTGCTATATAATGTTAATCTTTTAGAAAAAGAGTACGTGGTGAAAAATATCACTATCCTATTCTTTTCAAAATTTGAAAACTGTCCTCTGATTACTAAACATTCACTCCAGACATTTACAAAGCACTGCAAAGTGATATTTTATATTTCAGTTACACCTTTGTAAAAAAAAATATAGTGACTAAGTCGACGCTACTTAAGCCGTTTGTTGTAGCCATTCAATATCCACGATTCTATACTTTTGTGACTAGGTAGTTAAAACCATCGAAAAGGAGAGTAGCATTTTTTACGTTGTGAAGTAACTTCTGATTTCGCTGCGTAAACCGCATTAGAAGCCTATGGTGTATTTTAACTGATTTAATTAGTTGAAGCTCTGGTTTTTGCTCAGTTTTGTTACCTTTCGTGTAGGTTTTTTTATTTCACTGTGTGTTTTGGTATATATATATATATGTCTGTGTAATTTAAGTAACATATGTCAACACGAGTCTTACTGATAACTATGGACAACCGGACTGCGACCCTGTGAGCCATCGTCTCCGTGAGTGTGCTTATTTTGCAGTAGATCCTTGGACATCCTCATCCAAAAGACCGTAGGATCTCTTATGTTCAAAAAATTGACAAAAATCCCAGATGGGGAAAAAATACCAGCATCTAAAATCGATATCAAGAATGATGATTCTGAATTGAATTATAAGACCGAGAGAGAACCACATCCCTAAGTGATAGACACAAAAGAGGCACAATGTGACAAAAAGTCTGCAGCGGCAAGCAAAAGGTTCTGAAAAACCTAAGAGAGCAAGTTGTGCCAGCACTGTAAGATGACTGGGTGATACTACCACGACAAAGCGTTGCGTACCTGGTGAACCCATGGCTTTTAGCTGCCACGAGAGTTAAGTGGAAGAAACTAATTTTACTTGGTTAGTGCCAAAAAGCCGGAAGCTAAAAAGATATATGAAAGAGAAAACGATTGAGCTTAGTGACAAGGTCTCGACGGCCAAAAATACTAATACGATTTCGAGACCTTTGGACTCAAATTACGGTATCATAACTTGGAACTGAGGGGTATCGAAGAAAGTAGATCCAGCTTCCCAGCGGACTGACAATCTCGAAGCAGTTAGCTCCATTATTCTTGAAGTACTTACAGAAAAAGCAAATGAAGTTCACGAAAGAAAGGTCATCAAAATCAGAAAGAAATGTTGATGCCACAGAAAGTTCCCTAAGACTAGTGAAGATAGTACTGGGGAACGAGATGGAAAAAAGCATTGTCCTCAACAATAACATTTAAGAAAAAGGACAAAAACCTGGAAGTAAAGCCTAACTGGTTGTGGGAAGATAGGGTTGAAAGCAGAGAAGCTGTGGCACAGTTAAAGGCTTGACTATAAAAAGACTTTAAACCGCTGAGTTTTCGAGTAGTGATGTCTCGTATACTTGTGTTGCCTACACCCCTGTTCATAGGTCAAGTGAACACGTAGGTCTTTCAGTGTGCTATAAGAACGTGTCCAGTCTTAGGAATAAGCTCCCTGAATTAGGAATATTATCTGGAAGACTACAACCCGATGTGATTTTTGTGGTCGCTGAAACATGGTTGTTAGTGGGTGTAGACTCAACTCCACTCATACCTGGGTAAATCTGCACTAGAGCAGACAGAGTAATTAGTCGGAAAGGTGGTGGGGTTGCTCTATGCATCCGAGATTACATAAGAATTAAGTTAACATTGTCAGACACGCATAAAAGTAGCACTAGTGAAGCCGTAAGCTGTGTCTTTAACTCGAACAAGGGCAGTGTAGAGGTTGGAATTATTTATAGAAGTCCTGACAACCAAGCTGATGATTCATACTAAATTACTAAATCAGGGTGTGGAGTGGTGGAAATAGGTGTCTAATAATAGGTGACTTTAATGCCCCACATATTAATTGGGAGGAATAAACATCCACTAGCTTGTTTCAACAGGGGACTCACACTGACAATGCTTGAATGTGCACTTTTGCAGAATATACATGCTCCAACACGGTACCACTCTGAACATGATACACCTACTGCAGACTTGGTGCTAACACGCCAGGTGGAGGATGTCGCTGACATTAGGTGCCTTTCGCCGCTATGCAGTACTGACCATATAGTTATCTCTTTCACGTTTAAGATTCACCCTGTCATACGCAGGTCAACGACTGCTAGTCTAGACATTTGGAAAGCGAATGTAACTGCAATCTGAGGTGCAGCAGCCGTCACTAGCTGGTATGTTGATACACACTAGACTGTAGAGGAAGCTTGGGTTGGATTTAGGAATACACTATATTGCGTCACATTTTCTACCTTGGTCTACGCCTCGAAAACTATCTCATTAACCATCTCGGATTGGTAGTGAAATAAGGAGGTCATTAAGAAAGCGAAGGAACTTATGGGACGGGTTTACTGTGACAGGGATGGAGGAGTTCCGGATGGAATACCGCAAAACTCGAAACCTTTGGAAGTATATAATTGACAAAAGTCACATAGAATATGAGAAACAGTTAGTACTAGACTGTGCACATTATCCAAAAAGACTACTCGTATATCAAACGCAGGACTAAAACTAGTAGTGGTATACCGTCCCTCCTACGCAATACTGTAGAGGCGGTCGAGTTAGACGAAACAAAAGCTGAAGAGCTCTCGGATTACTTTTGTGATGTCTTTTCGTCTAATTGTACCACTCAGTCGTATGAAGAGGTCACTGCTATCGCCACTAAAATGCCCCCAAATATGGTAGAGGACGCAGCGGTTCTCAAACTACTGTCTAAACTGAAGCCATATAAATCACCTGAAATGGAATTTAGATTCTCTCACGGAGCGATCTCTTTAACTAACTCAGCTCCATCGGTGAATGCTTTCAAATGCAAATCAGATCTCTGCACAAATATATATTGCAAAGAATTACATAGGCAATCAGAGACTTCTATCCTTATTATCTGAATCTGAACCTGTGGTTTATTGACACTCGAAGCTTTATGTACGAATTCTTCCCTTTCCCATTTAATGTTTTTCAAACGGATCTTTAAAGCTATAACAAATAACCTGCACACGGATAATATTAGACGCTGAAATTTAATAATTTAAACTAGTCGGTGGCTGCAGGTAATCTTTATTTTGAAGTTAAGGTCGGCGGTTTTAAAACAACAAGTTTCTATGCCTACTGAGGATGATATTACACTGGAATGATAATCTGCAGATTATGTCTACATGTAGACATACGGATTAATCTCATCGGAAAAAGGACGCATTATAAACATTTTAATCGAAAGACTGACTTACTACAGCACCAAGTCTTAGTATTACAACTGGTTTCCTTAAGAATTCTAATATGCTGCTGGTTGTTCCAGACTTTGCAGCAGAGAGTAAATCAGCCGGATTCATTCTTAAAATCAAACCATACAAAACACCGCACCAAACTTGGAACGAGAGTACAAATATGGCTAGCACATTATAACAAAATAAGTGTCTTGCCAAAGAATTCATGAAATCCCATGAAAATCGTTTCAACGCAATTCTATATAGCCTAATTGTTTTCATATCATGGATATGTACATAAATATTATATATTAGCTAAACAAAATTGGTCATAATATGTGTGAAACTACACAATACCTCCTTTGAGGTCCGAGTGGAACATTGGCTTTACTGTCGCCCCTGATACCTTTGTAGATAGCTCTGCTATCGGTCATAAGCCTTTGTTTCCTCCTCTCATCACCTCATTCATGCTTCTTCCGGAGATCGAATTCACAGCTCCCAGTTCCTTCCCACACCCAATGTTTTGCGCGTTATGTGACTCAATAGTCTCCTCATCATATGTCTAATCCATCTCCGCTTCATTCCGTATATTTTCTGGACTATAAGTTCTTGGTTGGTTTATCCTCAGAGCTTTTGTCCATCCAGCCTAGCCGGTCATCTGACTTTCAGTATCGAGAGAAGGCAGTTGAGGTAAGTCTGCGGTAACCTGAAAATATTTTCGCTGGTGGGTCATTTCTCTGAACCATATATAAAACATAATTCTGTTGAAAAATGATAGCTAAACTTTTCATGTCCCCAATAGTTCTCCCCCAATTAATCCCTCAAGTTCCAAGAATTTAAGCATATTTTAGACGAAGGAACGTAAAGTCTGTTATCAGTTTCCTTCGTCGTATTTAACAGTTTCGGGCGAATTGATGAGATTAGTGTAGCGGTGCATGGTTATGACTATTTGAGCTTCGAAGAGCAGTACGTTACCTGGGGAATTTCTTCGAAAGAAAAGACATACGACCTCCTTCCAGTTAGTGTTCCATTTTCGGTATGTTTGGAATAGATGACTAAAGCCATTTCAACTGTGTTTTTGTGTATGTTACTTGGATTGTTGGTTGCCCTATATCATCTAGTGTCTTTAACTGTTTCCCAAAAGCAAACAGCATATATCCTGTTCTTCCGTAGTTTTGCATGTGTCTACCGCTACAAAAAGGACAGAAAGCTTCATGTTTAGTTCGATCATGAACCCTTTTCACAGGTTGAATGTCTAGCCCATTATGGATAAGACTTTATTTCGATAAATCACACAGTGTTGTACAGTTATATTAACTGATCAGTTAATATAACTGTACAACACTGTGTGATTTATCGAAATAAAATCTTATTCATAATGGACTTTTACTCTACCACAGTGCCCAAGTTTTATACTTATATCAACAATTGAATGTCTAGTGTCAGTGGCACATTCATCCAACCTAACTGGACTGTTCCAGAGTCTTCTCGGATTGTCGATGATACTAGCTCTTTATATACCTTTGGACAGACGGCGTAAAACAGAAGCGATGGTTTATCTGCCAAATAAAGCGTGGATGAAGTTAATATATAATCATGATCAAATAAGTCATTGATGTACTGCACGAGATGGCGGTACCTCCTATGGAAAAGACGTCACTGGCACGACTTCTGTTCCCAATATTTTCTGGAAATTGCTTGAAGAACGTATCATTTAAGGTCCACAAAGGAGTAAAAATACACGATATTGTAGATATTCTTTGGTATACATCCCCGAAATCGGAGACACAAATTTAACCAGAGTAGTAATTACACTGGTGCAATATTAAATGCTGTATTCTTGTTTTGTGCGAATACAATCATTGCTGTGTCAGATTCAGCCGACAATAATCCCACTTCGAGTGGGGATATAGTATCTGCTGAGATAGTCCACAAAAAACTACTCAGTCTGTCACAAAGATGTTGCCTTTTAACCCTTGTAAGAATCTGTTGAGAAACTCAAGAGTCCTAGACGCAGCAGTAATTCACTACAACACGCTGTCCAATACGTAGACGTACTAGAGATTTTGGACAAGATAGAACCTCAGTTAGCTGAAACCTATGCCACGCTGTTTTGAAATAATCCAAAAGCGAAGTGAAATCCGTGTCTGAGAAAATCTTGGTAAAAAACACCATCACATCTATGAGTTTAAGAAAAAACAATGACAGTTATTTAGGATTATAGTGTTCATATTAGGTCTGTGACAGACTTCAAAAATATTGGTGTTTCTCTGTACATGCTAGTTATTGAGTTAAAGTCTGGTCGGTTAGGAGACCGACAAGAGGTATCTTAAAGTATTAAACAGCGTCCAGACCACAAGGAAATGACCTGCATTGCAGACACTTCAAAGTGTCGAGAGATGCGAGTGACAATGAATTTGGTGCAATGTTGAGGGATGGCAGAGGTGATGAGCATGCCAGTTCTGTTCCAACATATAAGGAGTAAAATTACCAACGACCACTGGAGAATGTTCAATAATCCTTTGGGCTGTAGACAAATGGAAAATATGTTTACTCATTTGACGGTCCCATGTAGAAACTAATCATAAGCCGCACTCAAAAAGATGAATGAAAACGGAGAACTCTTCGTTGGCTTCTATGCCTTCAATGAACTAGTGATAGACCACAAGCCAAGTTCAATACTCAAAAATGGAAGGATCAAGGTACAAGGGACATCTTCACTGCAAACAAGGAAAAAGGTGCGGATACAAATCAACACTAGCGAAGAGGTCAGTGTCGAAAAGCACTAAGACGACCTGGAAGCGGTGTGGAGTCAAACCTGCATGGAAGTTCTGGGCAGAAAGAAGAGACAGGACAAACGGTGGCTCACTACGGACTCATGGAGACTAACAGAACAAGGATGCTGAAACAAAAGATTATCCAGTAAATCGACGTGCGACAAAAACAGGAGTTGAATGCAGTCTACAATACACTGAAAAAAGAGCAAAGAAGAGTGCCATGGAATACAAAAGAAAATATTATGAAGCCATGGCAAGTGAATCGGAACAAACTGCAAGCGAAGGAGACCTCGCAACACTATAATAAACAATCAGGTTTCTGTCGGGGAAAAGATCAACACAAATCAAGCCAGTGAAGGATAACGACGAAAAGTCAATCACCAAAGAGGTAGAGCAAAGAAAACACTGGGCTGAACACTTCAAAAGACTTTAAGATCGGCCGCCACCTACAACGCGCCCAACAATACCAACAACGGAAGCAGAACTACCAGTGAACATCAACCCTCCGATGAGAACAGAAATCCTGAAGACAATTGAGATGCTAAAAACTGGAAAAGCAGTGGTACCAGACAGAATCCCACCAGAGTCATTGAAAATGGACCCAGAGACATCAGCACACTTGATGACGAAACTACTGAAGAAGGTGTGGAAAGAGGGCAAGGTACCTGCGGATTGGAAGAAAGGCCACTTATTTAAACTTCCAAAGGAGACTTAGGTTGATGCAAGAACTGGCGCGGAATTATGCTCCTGTCTATCCAAAGCGAGACACTGAGCCGCATCATCCTGGAGATAATCAAACAAGCCCTAAATGAAAAACTTCGGCCGGGGCAGGCTGGATTCAGGAGGAACAAGTCATGCATCGATCAAATTGCAGCTCTAAGGATCACCATTGAACAGAGCTTGGAACAGCCGTCAGCTATCTATCTCAACTCCACTGACTTCGAAGAAGCCTTCAACAGTGTCGATCAAGAAGTGATTTGGCAACTACTTCGCTACTACAGGGTGGCAACAACAATTATACACATCATCAAACAGCTGTACGTTGATGATGCATGCCAAGTAATCCACAACCGGAAAATCACGGAACATTACAAAGTGAGAATGGGTGTAAAACAAGCTGGTTGCCTGCTATCTACAATGATTTTCCTGATTGTGGCAGACGGCAGCCTGTAGACGGCCATAGGTCATTTGATCAGCTGATGGATACTGGCGTTATTTTTGGAAAAGACGTCAAGGTTTGGTCATTTTTCGTTGTTTTACACACTTTTTTACATATATTCCAGCTAAAAGTTGATGAAATACGGCGTATTTAGCAGAAATAGGCAATAGTGGTGTCCTTATCCGGCCGTAGCTTACAGGCAGTTCGCAGTTTGTTGGAAAAACTTACTTTTCCGTTCAGAATAAGTCTAATTACTTGAAGACACATGTTATAACGATCATTTCGTGAATTTTTTTGCATTTTAATGGATAACAGGCGAAGTTGAACTTTTGACACCACTAACTACCAATCAGGGAATTATCCAATGAGATTCACGAACGCAGTTCAATGTTGTATAGAGCTTGATTCATTTCTAATGCGTGACCTTACAAGGCTAATGTTGCAATTTGAGGAGGTTAGTGTTTTCCAGTATTTCCTGGATTTGAGTTGCTCCGGAAAGAGCGAATTTGTTTGTGTGGTAGTATCATTACTTTAAAAAGCTATATCAAATCAACTGATGGGTTTGTTCATCGTTGTGCTATATGTTTGAAGCCTACTAACACTAGACAGGGTAAGCTGATAATTTTAATATTTCGTAGGAACTTACTTTCGCTAGGTCGCATCTCTCCCTAACCCAGATTTTGTATATCTGCAACTAATGGGTGTTGAAACAAGCTGTGAGAGCAGCAGCTGCCGAGATGGAGAATAGCCATGTCTCAACAGTTCAGTGGTACCAGCATTGCAGAGACATCGCATCATCGCATCCCTCCCTCCGGAAGGGATTCGTCGAAACGAAAGCAGATGGAAAAGCATTGACAGTCCCGTGCTAAACTGGTAGATGTTTCTCTCACATGTTCGAGAAAGATATCCCGTGTAACTTTTTTATTCTCTATTTTGTAGTTTTTCCTATAAATATACATTTCCATTCATCATATATGCCTCTTTAATGTAATTGGTTCGTTCAAGGTCGTTTGCTGATTGGTTGTTGGTGGTGTTTAAAGTTTAACTTTGCCGGATAACACATGGACATGATGAGGTGGGATAGCTCCTTTCGGTAATTATATCATTTACTTCGGTGCGTAATTTTCGTAATGCTGACAAGGCTCCTCCATATGTATTTCTTTAAGAAAAATCTGCAGAAATACTTAGAAATTATATACGCAAAGTATTTCGTTTTTATATGGCATAAACTTGATGTTTGCAGGCAGATGCAAT